AGGCTCTCCTTCTCTCCAAGGGTTTGATTCAAGGTTGTCTGCCACAGGATTTTCCATCAATGCAGATACAGTCTGTGCTGCCCTTTCTTATTTTCTTGCTTTCTTCCGTGCTTTTGTAGCACCTGACTAGTGGAGTCTCTGCAAGGTCTCACATATGCTGACAAAAAGCATTGGGAAGACAAAGTCCTATCTGCAATTCTTACACATCTCTGTTAGAGATCATAGTGCCACCACTATGGTATGCCTCCTGCCTCAGCCATAGGCAGGTTGTTGTGTTTCTCTGTGCTGTAGACCTCTAAAACAGATGAGAGGCTGTGAGCTCTTTTCTATGAGTCTCCTTCCCTTAGCATGCAGCCCCTGCCGAGCACAAGTCAGGGTCTTGCTTCCCAGGTTCAGATGAAGCATTTGGAGATGCTATTAAATTTGTGTGCTAACATCTGTCTTGCCTGTTTTGTTGGCATTGGGCATGTGGCCCTTCCTGACCATGACCCTGGTATGGATGGGGTTGCCTGTGGATTTGATAGCTGAACCTCCAGTTGGCTGTGTCTTACCCTTCCCAGCTATGGGACTCGCACCATTTCCATCAGCAAGACCTCAGAGTCAGGTGAGCCCCATGGGTGGCACACAATTCATTGAGGGCACAGCTACCAGAGCTAAAGAGCAAAACCAGCCAGGCACCCCCAAACTGGAGGCATTACTGGGAGAAAGGGAAGTGTTACTGGTTGAAAGGGAAAGCAGCCGGCTAGCCTGTCTGCTGCCTCACTGGAGGAAAGAGGACTATATATTACTTACAGTTATACTTCAGGGAATGTATACTGTATATTATCTTTATTGGTATTTCTTTTATCAACAAAAATCTGGTTTATTAAGCAGCTGTTTGCAAGTGGGGAAAATTACCTCACTGAGTACCAGAAAGTTTAGTTTGATTTTCTGAAGTTTCTGTCTGGGAGGTCAAGCTGGTGTTTTATTAATGACTCCTTGACTTTTGAAACCAGCCCTTGTTTCCAATTAAGTCCTAGCCAGAGGGTTTACTTATAGGGAAAGTGCACACAAAGCCCTATTTCTCTGAGAGCAGCAGAAATGAGTGACTTTATGGGTTGGAAATGTCCAGTCCTGCAACTCTATTGAGGTTTCTGTTCAGGAACTGCTGCCTCTGCTGCCTTTGGGGGTTGCCATGCCCATCTCTCCCCACCCCTGGAGACAGCATCAAGTGCCTGAAACCCCTTTCCTGGCCTGCAGCTGTGGGAGGTCCCTCCTTCCCCTACCAGCACCTCTAGTCTAAGGCACCCTAGTCCTTAGGAGCACACAGAAATGGAAATGTTGGGTGATGTGTATCTGTGGAAAAGTGCCTGGAAAGAAAAGATCTGAATCCTAAGAGGAATTAGACAAGTAGGATTACAGTCTGATAAATGCCCCGAATCAGCGTTGCTGTAAAAAGCAATCTTGCTGTATTTATTCTTGCATTGACACAGTTTTCCATGACTCCTTGGTAAGCTAAAGAGGGAACTGATGCAGCTGAAAGCCATTCAGCAGAAGAATCCCAACCCTATGGAAAGAGTGATGTGATAGTGGGAACAAGGAGTGGCAGAGGGCAAGTTTGCTCCCATCAGTGAGAGTGCCACTTTTTGGCAACTTTAAGGGTTCAATAAGCAACATGAGATGAAGGCCGTAGACACGGTCTATGTTATCTTGCCTCTTTGCAGCAGAAACCTGCCAATATTCTGCTCTCCTATCCTCATCCCCTGTCACATTCTCCAGGTCCTATCACCTCTATGTCCTATCGAAATACAGCTTTTTTTGTGTTCTCACGTGGTTGTTTTCCAATCCAGAACTATGCCCCATGATCCAGTCAGCAAAATCTGGGTCTCCTTTAAGCCTGTGGTGCCTCTGACCAAGCAGATGATGGTAACTGGAAATTCCCCCTTCCTCTGTAGATCATCTCCTCCATGTCAGCAGTTCCCCATCACTGCCTCTGCCATCCCTGGTCACAGGAGCCACTTGGCTACATTTGGGATGCTGCTCAGGCCTTTTCTACACTTTCATTTTCAGGAGTTATTCAGACCCTTCTCCTTCTGTGGCATTGCCTGGCAGCACCTCCACCCCTCCTCAGCCCTCCTGGGGGAAGCAAGCAGGGAGGCTGCCCGGGAGGTGGGGAGAGAGCAAGAAGCCGGTGAGGGGCAAAGCAGGGGGAGGCGGGAGGGAGCAGCAAGGGGTCCTCCCTGCAAGCTCTGTCAGCACTTGATGGAAACATCATCAACTCCGTCATCACCTGGCAGGACAATTGCTGCTGGTGTTAACCGAGACTTCATTCTCTCAGGGCAGAGGCAGGCTTTCTCGGCCAGTTACTAATGCTCGCAAAGCAAGACGAGTGGCAGATGTAAAGTTTGCGTAGGCAGTCCCATAAAAAACATGACTTGGTGCTGCATAATATGACCAACTTAAAGCATGGAATTACGACCCCCAAATTTGATCATTATTATCCTGAGTTAGCATTAACATTATTAGCATCAATTTTTATTTGGAAAAAACCCCACTGTCTAGTATTTTTTGTGATGATGTGGTGTAGGGTACTGTGAATGTGTACACTTTTACAAGAATTAAACAACTTGTGATTATAACACATACAGGAACAAGATTGGTTAAGCTGTATGGCCAGGAGGTACTGTCTATAAACATACATTTTATTTTTTTAAATTCTTGCCACAGTCAGATACAAAATGCTTTTCATTTATATGCATATTTGCAGGAGGGACTTGCTTAACATTTTCAGCACATAGTCATTTTATTTGTTAACTTTATCATGACAGAAGGGTTATAATATGGTGTTAAAAAGGTATGCAGTGCCTACAGAACACATGCAAGGCATTTTCTTCTACCAACGATGTTGCTATAGGAGGAAACAAAAATGTTGTGCCATTTTCCATCTTCTCTCCTGCCACAAGGAAAAACTGATTTATTTGTGTAGTTTTAAAACAAATATGGTTCAGAGCATTTGACTGCTTTCTTAATAACACATAATTAAATATTAGTGAACTACACATGCAAGTTGACTCCTTCCGTGTTATGGACGTCTCCATAGTTCTCTGACTACAGTCGAATCTGTCTGGTAGTTGTCTTCCTCTTTACTGTGACCATTTTGGGGCAAATGCCTTCTCAGACAGTTTTTTTTCTGAGGTCCACACATACTGCAAGTTCTCACATTTCTACCTTAACAGATGTTGTGATCCAGGCTATTTATTTGCTAAGGGTGGGCTATGTTAGCACCCCCACATCTCACTTGTTATGAACTTCAGTGATTTCCAACTTTTGGTGTTATATAGCATTACTCAGACTCTGATCTGAAAATACTCTCTCATGATCAGACCTCCCGAGACATATAGAGGAGCTGGAAGCAAGAAGGAAGACAGGCAAGAAAGACTATAGAAGAGATGGGATCCTATAAAGTAACCATCCTGGTGGGACCAAAACCAACGAGCATAGCAGTAAGCTTGTACAGGTGCAGCAAGGTCAACCAGTTGTTATTTGATTGTTGTCTGATGTGAAAGAGATGTTGAAGGTGAAGTAGAAAGGAATGGAAAGATTCAGAAGTATGAAAAGGTGGACTTCAACAACATCATGAGGAGAGACTGTCACTGGAAACCAGTCAGCTGATAACCTCTAATTTGTCAAATGATTAGAACATTATCCTACTGACTCTAGATGAAAAAATGTGACCTTATGCAGATGGCAAGAAGAAGAAAGTTGTATTAACCATTGCTGTCGGGTTATAGCACTCAGAGATTTATACTCTTTTTGGGGGATAGGTGTAAAGCAGCTGAGCTACGAAAGCCTAAATGTCTTTCACAGAATTATTTTGCTGAATTTTTCCTCTGAACTAGTGGAATTCAATTCTGTGTTCAGAGACAGCAACTCACAATGCCTCACTGAGATGTAATAAGCTTTTTAGCTACACCAGGTTTATTAGCTTTTTCCATCCCTCCAATCCAAGCAGTAACATTTTAATTTCTTCTACCGGTACAGGGTACTAAATTTATAGAATTGATTTCAAGCTAAAGATACTGTGAGTAATTAATTATAAACTTCAGAATTGCACAAAATCAACATAAGATTAAAAAAAAAATCTTTGTTACCTTGGTGACCTAAAATATTTGACTTTTTAAGAGAAGACAACTGCTGTCTGAATGATCTAAATAAAATGATCCTCACTTAATTATTTTTTTTTAAATTGAACAATTCTGTAAATAAAAATACAGGCTTTTGTTTGAACTTATAATGCTCATTTCTGTAACAATGTGTACTTTTTGTTGCTAGAGACATTTTCGTAGTGTGGGAAAGAAAACAGAACTCTTTTCTGCTGCAGTGATACTATCTCCAAAAGGTGATTTCGAGAAAATATTTTAAGAATTTACTGTTTATTGCTGGTTTGTTTTTAAAGAGTTGGTTTAATTGTTTGATTCACTTAGAAAGTTATGCTTGCCTTTACAGTGAAGGGGCAGATCTACTGAGGAGGAACAATAGCTTCCCTGATATTTTATGAGAGCTCATGGGGAATTTATAAGAAATGTATGTGGAAAATTACATAGATCTTTACTTTTCAAAAATCTGTGCCTTATTCCATAAAAAACCTGCTTTTTTATTTGTGTTTCTACATACTTTGCAAGTTCTCTTGAGCCTCCTCCTAGTGCCTTTGACTTCACAAACCTTGATGTAAAACAGTAAGACAGAAGACCTCATGCCCTTTCCTCCCTCTCCTCCAGGTGCATCTGCAACTCACAAGGTAGGACCGTGAAGAAATCCCAGAGGTAACCTTTCAGTTTACCAGCTGAGACCCTGGAGGCGGTTCACCTCATTATTTTGGGGAGCGGATGTGAAGAGCCCTGCGCCAATGTGTTGCTCTGTTTCCAGGGCCCACCCTGACTTGCTGAGGAGGGTGTTTGCCATGCCTGTCCAGCACCATGCTCTGCCAGGTCCAGGTCCATGCATGCTGCAGGAGATTGCCACTAGCAGCAAGGCAACCTGCTGCGGAGCATACCCACTTTTTGCTTGAAGAGGCGGCTTCCACTCAGCACGAACGACAGCAGGTCCAGACAGCTGAGGGCAGTCATACTCAAAAAAACTTCATTGTAGCTTTCTAACTGCTCAAAATCACTCACATGCTGTATGTAGTAGGCCCTAAAGAGATGATAGGGAAGGAAGCAAATTATGATGACGCAGATGAAAATCAAGTTTTTCACCTGGGCCCAGAACTCTTGGTGTGACCAGAGGGAGGTGGAAAGTTTTCTTGCCACTTTTACCAGGATGAAAATCTGCAGGCCCAAGAGGACACAAGTAATGCAGGTGACAGCTACAATTATGGTGTAGTTCAGGGCTTTCACACTCTCCTGCTGTAGTTCTTTGTGGAACTTAAAGCATACTGTATCATTGTATGAGCCTGAGCGTCCATACTCCAAGCACAAGGCTGGCACCACAAAGACCATGACAAGGACCCACACAGCAGCGCTTGCTGCAATGGCGTGCAGCTTCCTGTAAAACTCCACCTTGTCCTTCCATTGAAAGAAGATGAGCCACCGGATCACCAGCGTGATCACGTAGAATAGGAAGGTCAGGTACATGTGGATGTGCACCATTGCACTCACCATTTTGCAAAACGGCATCTTGAATACCCACTTCTTGTTGACATAGTAGTGCAGGCGGAAGGGCACAGTGAAGAGGAGGAGGCTGTGCACAACGACCAGGTTAACGATGGCTGTAGTGGTCACGGACAGAGTGTTCATCTTGACCAGCACAGACAACATTGTGATGGACCCAATCCCACCTCCAGCAAAGGCAACCGAGTAGGAAGTAATCAGTATGGCACTCATGGTGTTGGTGTGAGTGAAGGCAGAGGAGGAGTCACTGCTGTTCCTATTCTCTTCAGTCATGTTCCCGAAATCTTCCTTGTACATATTCTAGAAATGAAAGAACACATAAAGCCTAAGATAAGGCAGGAATGAGAGGGCCCACCTGAAAAGCCAGCAAAGCTTTCCACCTCTATCTTGCTCAAGGGATAATCCTGGAATCTCACAGCTGGCACAAGCTGTAACCAGTATTTTTTTCCAAACATCCTACAGCCTAGAGAAAAATGGCTGAGAAGGTTGGGCACAGGAGCTGCTCTAGTCCTTAAGACGTTGCTAGCCATAACCTTAAAAAAAAGCATGAGTTAGTAATATGTGGGGAGAAGAGATCTTTAGAGAAATGACATGATTGTGGTGGTTTTGAGCTCTCTGTGTTATTATTAGTTCTCCCCTCTTCTGAGCATTTGCATGCTTTTGCAGTGAGGATCAGAGATATTGTTCAAATTCTGCTACTCATTCATTAGTCTGTTTATTTGCAACACAAATCTGCCCTTCCCAGAGCCAGATAATAACCATATGTTGCCCTATCAAAGCTACGAATTTTGTTTGTTACCGAGAGCCGAGTTTTGCACACATTACAGTCAACTCCTTCTCCATGGACGGTTTATCTGAGTAAGGGATTAAACACCATGGATACCCAGGCTCCATGGAGATCCTGCCAGACGGAGTAGCGTGGGCAGTGCTGTCCTGGTGCTCGGGGCCATTTCACATCTAATATGTGGCAACCGGGTGTTACAAAATGGGCTGTTAGAAAGCATTCTGAAAGGACATCCTGGGTTAGTGCAAATAAGCCTGCCTGGCCCAAGCTGAGGCTGGATGAACATTAATGGCAAGTTTAGTAAGTATGCTATACATTTTTAATATATTACTGTTTCAAAGAGAGATTAAATTTGATCCTTATAATTCTAAATATAACTTCTGGTAGGATTTTTAAGTACTACGAAATCATGTGGAAGGGGAAGAGTTCAGGTAGGGTGTTATCCTCAAGCATGTTTGCATCTATGAATATATCAAGCGGATGTCCACAAGCGGGGAAAATTGAAGAGTGTTGGGCTCTGTACTATCCCAGTTTACTTGCTACTGCTACCTGAACTATAATTTAAAACTGACTCTGATATGTCATCCATTTCACCAATGAATCCCACTACACAAGAGGGGGTTTTCTCCTGAGTGAGTTTTTGCAATTTTTCTTTTAATACTGCAATGTTGCTAATGTCACAAAATAGTTTCTCTCTCTCTCTTTGTATGAGTGGTGTTTCAGCTTATTTTCATTTTTAGGTATGACACACTGCCAGAAGTTGGGAGGGAAAAAATTCTTTAGCAGTTCTCTCTTTTGTGGAAAGGAGCAAATACCTATAACAGTTTTATAAACCAGTTTTGCTCATGGTGGGGAATGACTATCTGTGACGCATCTCAGATATTTTACCAATATTTCTAAGCATTCACCCCTACAGTAATCAAGACCTCCTTCCACATTGAAAAGTCAGTTATTCTCTAGCTATCCCAATGCATCTAAGACTCCAGACATTTTATTGTAATCAGCATAAATATAACTGCCATATCTCAAATGGATGTGTTGGGTTTTGGCACTTACTGAACTTTTCTGTTTGAAACTGCATTTCAGAGTTATGTGGACAACTAATTCCAGTGCATTATGAAAAGTAAAATGGGTTGCAATGAAAGAGCTTTTTCTCACAGGTGCTGCTGATTGGCACACTACAGCTCTTGCATCAGAAACCATGCAAGTTCCTTCCAGTTCAGTTCTCATTTCTGAGACGTTGCATTTCAGCCTCACAACCGTGCAAGCCAGAAGGGATTAGCAATAGCTGTTCATCAGTTTCTCCAAGTTGTTAAGCTTTAATTTGAAAAGATGTCTCTAAAAAGTGGCACTATCGCACTGTTTTAATTTAAAATGCATATTTAAAGTTTAAAAAGTGCCACAGCCCTAAAGGCAACATGCTGGAAATGTGGGTTGGTGTGAGCAGCCCCAGCAGCAAGGCTGCGCTTGGAGAGGAAGGATGCCTCGCGGTCACCCTTCGGAGCCCAGCAGTGAAACCTGAACTGAAGGCAGTAAGGAACAGATAAGCAGAAGTCAGATAACCGATATTTTCCTCAGACATTCTTATTAAGGGGACAGTGAGAGACCTATTTCTGTCTGCAAATAAGCAACCGAGACACTGAAATGCAGGTTTCTCCAGAACTTTGCGGTCATCGCTAAATCCCTTCATTAAAATTCTGCAAGAAATCTCATTTTCATTAATCTTCAAAAAAAAAGCTACTGGCAGCTATGATATGAGATTATCAGCTCCCCAGTAGTAGAGGCATCCCACTGAAATATCATTGCATCATGAATACAGAGTATAGCATGACACAGGGTATGTTTCACAGAGGAAATGCTGCTTTCCAGTGAAGTGAGGTTTCCTATTGTACTGACATTCACGTAGCTATAACCTACTGACCTGAAATACAACTAACAAGTCCTTTGGCCAGAATTTAACAGGAGGCACATGGAATGAGAATGAATGCAGGTCTTGCAAGAGACTAATTAATTATATGACATAAGGCTACATACTGAACCTCAATGGAAACATGAGCTATAGAAGTCTCCAACAGCTGGAAAATACTTCATGGCAGAGGAGGAACAGAAGAGACCACTGAGAGTGGTATCAAGCTATCTAACAAATAGTCTTCCCCCATGCTGCTTAGGCCTTTGCCAATGTCAGCTGGTGTAAGCTCTTGCCAGCTGTAACATCATTACTTCAGTACTGAATCCAGCTTGCTTAAAACTAGCTTCTTTATCTACCTTATCATTACCTTGCATTTTACAGAGTGGCTGTGCCCTGGTCACGGAGTTACAGTTCAGTCTCATCCCTTCTTGCCTCCTCCCCACGCACCCCCTGGCCCCAACCAGTGTCTGAAGCACCAAGGAACTCCTTCAGGATGGTAATTTGCAGCTTTGCCTCACCCAGACGGCTTCCCTTCATGCACACTAATGTTAGCTCTTGACATCTGTAAGAACGGAAGGAGCACGGAAAGAACCTACCTTATTGTGCATCCAAAGGCAGAGAGTTTCTCGTCAAGGAGGTGTTCTTGCTTCCGTGCCTTCCTACCCCTTCTAGCTACTGCCAGTTCAGTGATATTGCTCATGTTTTGGAGCAAGGTTTAGTCTTCCTCTGTGTTAAGCCTCTCATCACCTGGTTAAACTTCTGCCGGACATGTGCTTTGAACAGCCATGAGGCAACGTTGGGCAACCACTTCATTTGAATGCCGTAACAGTTAAAGAGACATGTTCTGGTGCCAAGGGCTTGGTTGGGGACAATTGCCAAAATGGCTGTGTTTTAGTTTGACAAAGGAGGTAGATTGCCAAGAGGCCAGATGCTGGGTTCTTTCAGAAATATGATCAGCAAAAAGATTCTTGTGCATTCAAAATTCATCAGTTATCAGTGTGGCTAAGGCCATCACATTCATTTCCTGAGACTTTCTGTGCAGCACAGTCTCCTGGACTTCCCTGGACTGCTCTCTTCAGGCCAGAGCATGTAATTTACAAAAACGATTCTGTCTCTGTCAAAATTTTCCCAGTAAAAGAATATTAATTCCAACCTCCAGGAACTTGTTTCTCTTTTATCTTACTGTTAATTATCCTACTGTTTTTTTTTTTTAAAAAAGGGTGAACTGTATTTCTAGACAGAATTTGTACACCCTAAGCTTCCAGGCATAGTATGTGCTTCTGGTTTTGGCTTCAGATTTAAAAACCCTTTGTCAAATTTTGGCTTGCCCTATAGATACCTGGAGATAAGTAGAGATAAGAGACAGAAGATACTTATTCTGTCTTGTGGCTCCTCACTGAACTGCCTCCATCAGCGTTGTGCTCCTATGTGTTTTTTAGATGAACAACTTTGCATTCGGCAGTGGTAAAATGCATGTTGCTAGTTTGCACCTGACTTAGCAACCCAGATCAGCCTGTCACTGGCTTGTTCCCTTCATTCCTTACTATTTTCCCAACCAGGTTCATCAGTCACCATTATGTTACATCAAGGTTATATCAACTTAATAAAAAAACCTCATTTGTCAAAAACGATGATGCTCTTACAATCTCTGCCAAACAGTGAACTCTACTCTCTGTATAACAAGCGTTTGCAAAATTTATCCCCCCGTATGTGTCTGCTGAAGGACTGGCAGGCTTCACACAGATTTTCATGTGTTCCAACAGTTGAGTTCTGCAGAAGAAGCATTTGCAGCCTGCATGCACCCAACTGAGAAATTTCATTTGAATTTGGAGGGGAAAAAGGTTCAATTCAAATGAAAGATTTCTATTTTTGACAGATTTAATAAAATAGAAAAATGAGTGTTTGTCAGAACTGACATTTCTGCATTGAACTAGACTAGGTTGGAGGCAGTGCAAAATACAAATATTTTTTAACAAAAGTCTGTTTAAAATGTGTCTTTGTTTCACAAACATCCTCATTTAGCTTCAGAGATGCTTTCTGTTCAGGGCATTGTAATTGCTTTTCAGTTTGCTCTAATTCCATGCTGTGTTATGGTAATGTAGGCTATGCCACTAGAATAATTGCAGAATTCTCTTCATTTCAAAAATAACCATACACACCTGAAGTTTGAGGTATAAATATCTGCTTAAAGGAAAACATTACAAATTAAAAATATGAAATATCAAGTGTGTGTTTACATTTAGATATTGACTTTTTCCAAACAACTTTTAGTGATTCCTCTAACTCATTCAGTAGCTCGTTGAGTCATGTCTTGCAGGCTGTGTTACCATTATACTGACACTTTTTAGTTTAAATCCAGTCTATTGAAGAACAAATGAGATGGAAAACCATGTTGAATTAGTCCTCTTTTGTTTGAGATTTTCACTGTTTTTACACAAAAGAGGAAACCATGGAACCTTCCTAAAAATAATTATTTACTATCCTAGCTGTATCTTATCAAAGAGAACAAACTTACCCTTCTGGTCTTTACAGAGATTGGATGATATCAAACCCACACAGAAAGATGGATGAAAACAGAATTAATTTTCTCCCAATTTTAGGAGGCAG